AAAAAAAAAAAAAAATCCAATTGTAACCTCAAAATACACAAGCTTTCCTCTTTGGTTTCAGCCGGTTGGTAGAAGCAGAACGGTACCTCCAGTTTTCTCTAGTCCTGTGCTTCTACTCCCCCCGGACCCAAGCCCAATCCCTGCCCAGGCACCCAGCAGGCCACAGCCCCCAGCAGCTCTTCCTTCTTTTGGCTTTCTTTTTAACTCCACCAGTGAGGCTACCTCCTTCTCCCTCTTGCCTACTTTCATGTACTGAACATGCAGGTCTGAGTTTTTCTGTCAGCCTAACCGCATCCGGACTCTATTAAAGTTCCTGGCTCAGGATAAACAATGCAACTGTCGCGTGCAGCAGTCTGAAAATAATTGGATTAGCTAAAACATATCAACTAAATAGAGACAGTCCTGCTCAGGCAGTCAGGGTGAATGTCACCCTGGGAAAAAAAAAAAAAAAAAAAAAAGAAAAGAAAACTTGAAAACTGATCTCGTGGTCACTGGGCTCCCAGAACGCTCGTTCTGAAGTTTTCCAAACCCAAGCTTTGGGAGTGCGATCTTAACGGCTCATCCAGCCCTTCAAAGACAGCTGATCTTTTTTTTGTTTTTCCCATTGTTTTTTTTTTTAAGGAATCTATAAAGTCGGAGAAGCCCACACTGAAATGAGCACACCTTAAAAGATAACAATGTTCACAAAATCCTTTCTAAAAATACACTTCAATCTCATCACAATCTCTTTTGACCCAAATGCTTCATATAGAAGCAAATTGATAGTGGATTTGTTTGAATTTTTTTTCAAAGAAATAAAACACTGCATGTGCATTGCTCCCCTGCAGTGACATGCATAGAATAAGTCCTTGCCTTGCTAGAGAACTCTGCTTCTCAGGGGAAGAGAAGCCGCTGTGGGAGCAGCAGAGCGCACCTGGAGACTTTTCCCCTTCTGTCTACCTCTTCTGCCTTCTGATCAAATCCAGGAACTGTCTTAGTGTGGCTTACAGACCCTATTCACACGTGCTCCAAAAGACACTGCAGGTGACTGGCTGGGGCACCCACACTGTATGTTCATTCAACTCCGTTTCCCATCAGGGAGCCACTTATTGCACCCAGAAGATCAGCTAAGAATCCCTTTTCCTGTAAAGCTGCTGCTTTGCTTAGTTCCTTCCTCCTCCCCCAAAACGACAGATACGCTGTATACATCTATAAAGGACAGTCCTTGGTTATAGCGCGAATGACCCTCTGTGAGCTAAGTGAAGAGGAACAGTCAAACTGACAGAGGCCAACGGGGTCACAGGAGGGACCTGTGTTTGTTTAGGTTAGAGGTTTCGTTTTAGCTTTAAACACCACAGATTTATTCCCAGGGCCTTCCATTTGGAAACTGACTAAGGGTTAGTGGCAGTATCCAGGAGTTCCTAGGCAGGCAGGAGGAGAGGGCAGCGCTTTGTTTTTTGTTTGTCTTTTTCCTTTCCCAGCTCACTGGGGGGTTTAAATCGGATCCCACATCCCCTCTGCTGCCTGAGACAGTAAGAGGTAGGCACACGTCTCATTCCTCCCAAGCTGGAAGAACAGGAAAAGGTGGATCTCAGAAGAGCTGGGCAATATATCCTTAGCTCTCCCAGAGATCCCCCCTTTTGGGGGAGGGGTCTCTTTTGCCCTGAGCTGGATGTGGAAGATGGGGGAACAAGAGATTTCCCGAGGAGGTGGCGCCTACCTGTGCTGGATCTTGCCTTGGGCCTTGATTTACATCCGAACCCGGTGGGGGATCCCCCCAGCAGGCTGCTGGGCGGGAAGAGTCCGGAGCTGTACTCCGGCACGTAGGGCGGGTAGGTGGTGATGGGGTGGTGGGCTGAGGACGAGGCCCCTCCCAAGGTGGTCATGCTGCCTCGTGAGTGGGACGCCTCCAGCTTCATGCTATCCGGCAGCGGCACCTGATACTTGAGGCACTCTTTCTCGTCTTGCCTGGCAGAGCTGGCGGATCCCGGGGTGGACAGCGATGGATCTGGGGAGACGTCCTTCGGAGGGGTGGGCGGGAAAGTGAAGAGATGCGGGCTGGAGTGACCCGCGGCCAGCGAAGAGGATGAGGCTGGAGGGTAGACGGACAGCGGCCCTGGGGAGCCGTGGTGAATGGACGTCTTGGAGAAGGGGCTGAGGTTCCAGGGCGAGGCGGTGTGGTGGCTGCCCAGGGCTTTGCCACCATCCAGCCAGGGCAGGGATCCGTGCAGCAGAGGCGGGCGGCACACCTGGCTCCCTGTCGCAGGAGAACCAGCAGCCCCAGCAGCAGCAGCAGCAGCAGCAGCAGCAGCAGCAGCAGCAGCAGCAGCAGCAGCAGCAGCATCGCATCCGCAGGGAAGGAGAGAAGAAAGAAGAAAGCAGTCAGAGGGGCCCTCAGGCACACCTGGGGACTCTCCTCCTGGCTCCCTAACCGCCCAGTTAGCAAAACCTCCAGGACCCACGGGGATGAGAACTCAGGCCTGCTCGGGAATCTCAATGGTCCCGGGAGTACCTAGCCAGCAGGCCTCATGGTGGGAGCAGACCCTGTCCAACAGGAATGCAGATGAAATCTAGTAGAGCTAAAGGCCTGTTTCTAACAGCTTAGAGGTGTTGCAAGGACCAAAGAAAGGTCCTTGGGCTTATTTGGCCCGTCCAAATAACACTGTCTAAATCAGATTCCCTGGCTCTCTCTCTAGAACCTGCCTTGATTTATTAGTTTCTTTCAGTGGCCTGGATTCTCCCATCCCAGACTTAATCCCAGCCTGGCTGATAAGAGAGTCAGTGTGAATGATGTGGTCTGAAGGATAAAGTGGGGCCACACCACCCCTCAACACCAGAATAACCTCAACCCTTGAGTGAGGCCCAGCTCCTAAGACCCAAGCAGTTTGGGAAAGGACCGGGTGTATTTTAAGGTTAGTTTTCAAGAATCCCAGTTCAGTGCTTGGTCAGAACCGGCAAAGCTCCTTCTGAAACACCAGAAATGGAAATTTGCAATAAAATTTTCATTCCTCAAACCCCTGAAAGTATTCAAGCCTGAATCCTGGGGATATTTTTTTTCCCCCTAGGCACTCTCATCTCACCCTCTCAACTCTTCTGAGAGAAGGAAATAAAACAAACTTCCTAGGCCTTCAAGACTTTCTCATTCTACCATGGCAATATGTGAATTTTCACCTGAGACACAAAGTTCCAGTTTATGTGTTTATTTTAAGCCAAGGGTGACTCATTCGAAGAGTATGTTTAGCCTTCATTTAAAATACAGGCAGCCATAATTTATCCAAGTCCAAACTCTCTGATACTGGTACCTTTAAACTTCAAGTGCAAATCTTCACATTTATTGATCTTTCTATCCAGTACCTGCCTTACCATTTGACATTCTATTCAACCATTAAGAGTAATACTGAAACTAAAATTTAAGAGAGAGGAAGGGGAGGGGAGTCAAGAAAGATGGAGAATTCTCTTGAATGCCAAGGGTTGAGATTCATATTAAGCAGGAAGTGGTATAGTAAATAATATTAAGTCTGCATCTACCTCATTTCCACCTAACTGCTAATCTGCACAGAACACCAGCGAGGAGCATCCCATCCGTAGAAGTGATTATTTAAAACCTGGTGTCAGTAGGGCAGAGGATGCCTGCTGCTGGAGGGTAGGCTATGTCATCCTTGCCAAAACTAGCTCTGAGTACGGGGACTCGGACAGACAGACCTCTGGCTGCTCTGAGAAAGCCTCACATCTTCTCCCCTTAAATTTGTTGCTCCTACTTCTTAAGAAACAAACTTACACCTGGGAAGTGTAACTTGATTTCCCTACCACCCAATGCTAGATTTCTTTCCTTTTTATTTTTCCAAAAACCTCAGAACTCTTTCCTAAACTCAAGGTGAAAGGGGTTGGAGGTGGGGAGGACTGGAATCGGTCCCACTTAAAAAGAAACCCTGGTGTACCCTAAAACTCACATGAAGCCTAAAGAAACTGACACTAGGCCTGAGGCAAAAATAAGGCCAGAGTTGCAGGCAATTAAACAACCTGAGAGCAAGAGCAGGAAAATTCTGGGCAACCGGGAGTCTAGCAAACCTGACTTCTCTCCGACTTAAAGCAGTTTATACCGTGTCAACCACTGGAATTCTCTTTCTCAAGCCACCAGTAGTAGGAAACCTGACTAAACCCCAAATGCACTAGCTTTGGGGCAAGACCAAAAAAAAAAAAAACAGTAAAAATATACATACATGTTTGGGCCTTTCTGAAAATATGTAGGGAGAAACAAACTGCGCGTCTCTCGCAGAAGACCCCTTAGGAGAACCACAGGACAACCGGCAGCACGAAGCCCTGCTGAGGAGCCCAATTCCAGGCGGGCCTGGCCCGCACTGCTGCCCGGCCTGGGTGCCTCGGTCCGCGGCTGCAGAGCCTGGGACTTCTTTGCCTGCATAACCTGCAGCCGGGCGAGGACAGAGGGCTGCATCTCGGCGCCCGCCAGGTGAGCGCCAGGCCCCAGCCACACCAGCTCAGAGAGGCGCCAGCTATCATTCTTTTTTTTAAAAAAAAAAAAGAACAAAAACAAAAAACCCAAACACTCTCCCAACAGCAACACAGCTTCCTCGCCCATTTCCGGGCCCCAATTTTTAAATAAACTGTAACACACTTAGGGGCTTTCAAAGCTTGATCTCCCCCAGCCTGAGGCGCTCCAGGCTTCCTGGGTCCAGAAGGATCCCAGCTCCCGGGTGGACTCACCGTGGTGGGTCGGAGGGTACCTCTGCACGGTGGCCCTGACCGAGTTTCCGTAGTAGGAGGGAACGTGGTTGCCTTGACTATCGATGTTAAAAAGTACATCCACCTCTTCCGTCAGGGGGTACTGAGCCGGGTCCATGTAGGAGTGTCCGAGGCCCGGGTGGTGCGTGTCCGGGTGCTGTCCGTTGAGGACCGCAGGGTGGTGGTGGCCCACCCAGCGCGGCTGGTCCGCAGTCACCTCCATGTCCTCGGCTGCGCTCGCGCCCTCTCACCGGGGCCGGAACCCGCGCGCGGAGAGGGAGGGCTGTCGGCCTGGGAGGTCCGTGGACTCCTGCCGTCGGAGGGTCGGGTGGGAGGCGGGGTCCTTTAGTGGTTTGTTTGCAGTGGGAGAGTGGGAAGGAAAGATGAGTAAAGGGGAAGGTTTGGGAAGAAAAAAAAAAAAAACCTCTGAGCGATAGTTTGCCCAAAAAAAAAAAAAAAAGGGGGGGGGGGAAAAATTTCTTTAATCAAAACTAGATACGGCAGGACAGATGAAAGGGGACCAGGTTGCAAAAAGGAGGGCTCTGGAATCTCCAAGCGTGGCTCCACGGCACCCGGGTTCCTCGGCGCTCAGAGACTGCTGCTCCTCCAGTCACCTGCATGGGAGAGAAGGCGAGCCCCGGATGAGTTGGGAAATACCTTAACACCTGAGATTCTGGGGACACCTGGTCAACTAGATACGGCAGGACAGATGAAAGGGGACCAGGTTGCAAAAAGGAGGGCTCTGGAATCTCCAAGCGTGGCTCCACGGCACCCGGGTTCCTCGGCGCTCAGAGACTGCTGCTCCTCCAGTCACCTGCATGGGAGAGAAGGCGAGCCCCGGATGAGTTGGGAAATACCTTAACACCTGAGATTCTGGGGACACCTGGTCCCCTCGAGCCTCCCGCCGGTCCAGCGCACCCAGGATGTGCAGATGCACCCGAGGACCCAGTTGGAGAGGAAGCCAGATTCCCCGGGACATCTCCAGCCTCCAGACCCGCGGGAGCCCGGAACTGGCTGAGCAGTCACAACTTAGAGAACAAGTCCCTCCCTAGGGGAAACGGGTCCCGGGACCGTTCCAGTCACTAGAAACCCTCTAAAAGAAGAGCGCTGAGGTTCTCCTTTTTTTTTTTTTTTTTTTTTTTTTAAGTCCCCTGAAGTGGAGGGAGGGGAATCAAACTTAAAAAAAAAGTCACAATACCAACCTGAGCTTGGACCAGAGAAAGAGGCGTGTGACCGGCTAGGTCAGATTGCGTAGCTCGCTCAGTCTCGCTCTCCTGTCTCTTCTCTTCTCTTCTCTTCTCTTCTCTTCTCTTCTCTCTCTCTCTCTCATCTCTCTCTCTCTCTCTCTCTCTCTCTCTCTCTCTCTCTCCTCTCTCTCTCTTTCTCCTTTCCTCTCCCTCTCTCTCAGTATTTTTTTTACAGGGAATGCATTCTTTCTAAAGTATCAAGCCGGCGCCAGGCAGCTCAGTGTTCGCAGACAGCTGTGGCGCGACGCAACTTAAGGAGGCTTGGTGTCATCCGCGCCGAGGGGGAGGAGCCTGGCGCTGGCAGGAGGGGACAGGATCCCCAGCACAAGGAAACTGCAACCCAAACCCGCTCCAGGACTTTACCCCCACCCCCCACCCCCCACCCTCCCATCCCGCCCCTCCACTGACCGGAAAGGGGCGCCGAGGAGGGCCGCCGCAGGGCGGAGGGGCCGCCGGCAGGGTGGGCGAGGCTGGTCGGGGCTTGGGGCAAAGGGGCGGGCAGGAGGGAATTCGCGCTCTGGCCCTTTAAATGTAGCAAAGCCAATTCATTCGGGCTCAGTAGATTATTCTGTCCGGGTGAAACCTAACTGCCCCATTCATAAAGCTAATTTCCATAAACAACTTTTCTTTTTCAGGCTTTTTTTGTTGATGAACAAACTTTTAAATTAGGATTCCATCCTGCGTATTTTGGAAGTTTATCTGCTTGAACAGGCTATGCGCACGCAAAACTGATCAGGAAAGCAACCTTTAAAGTCAGAGTGATTAAAGAATTGCCTCCCGGACCGGTTTTCCAAGAGGCTGGGGAATCGCGCAAAACGACGGTGGCTTTGATGGAGACGCCCGGAGACGCCGGTAATATTTTCGTTCTGGTCACCGTTTTCCCCCGGCCCTCGGCTTCCACAGACCTCTCCAGTGAGATCAGCTGTTGCAGCTGTCTGTTTTCAGATCTAATGATATAATCGATGTATGCTTTTGACTGGAGTGACAACGTGATGGATAGAAAGCGAGGTGGGGGAGACCCAGGCTCACTCAGCCCCTAAGTACTGAGTAGAACTAACTTCATCTTTGCTCCAGGCGCCGAACTTGTCCCTTCTCCCAGCTCGGAGCCCAACTCACTCTGCCTCCCGGGCGAGGAAACCGGCCTCTCCAAGGACCCTAAGCCCGACCTCCCGCGTGGGGCTCCGCGGGTTCAGGGCCGCGGGTTGCAGGGTGGGCAGCCTGGAGCAGGGAGAGCCGCGGCAAGACGCGGGGCGGAGGGGGCGGGGCGGGGCGGGGCCACGTAAGGGCCAATCAGCCGGCAAGACTGAGACCGGGCCGCAATTGCCCCGCCCGGCGGGCTCCAACCTCTGCAGCCCTGTTCCGTCCTTTGAGCCACTGCATCCCCTAGTGGCGCTAAGGTTCCTGCAGCCTGGGTCCCAAAAACAGCCCGGACGTGCAGGGTCCTGCGGGGAGGAAAAAGAAGACTTGGGGTGCCCCCCAGGGCGATGTGTGCGAGGAAAAAGTGATTCTCCTCTGGGATGAGAGCGTGACTCGGAGGGTTATTGCAATTGAAGACGTCACTGTCGCTTCACTCCTCTGCCCCATAAAATTTCCCACCAATACAAAAAAATCGATTCCCGACAAGACATTCCTAAAAGTTAGTAGTAAAGGATTCCTGTCCTACGGTGGAGAAAAAAACGTCAATAACCACCTTGAAGTTGGTGTGTGGGAATGGCGTTGTTTTAAAACACAACCCTTGAGAAAGTCGAGCAAAATTTATTTGGAAGAGTGTGTCCTGCAGGCTTGGGTTTGGACTTTCTCTTGAATCCTCATCTTCTTAAATCAGATGTTTGAAGCCAGGAATGAATTTCTAGATACAGAACAAGAAGATCGCTTTTTTTTTTTTAATCTTCCTCCGGTGTTTCTCCTGCGCCCACTTGGTCTCGCGTTTATTAGGGCGGCCCAGTCAAGGAATATCGATTTTTTTCCTTTCATTCTTTGACCGACTCATCTCTCCCGGGCCAGTCAAGCTGCCAGCATCTCGTCCAGCTCACGGAGCTCTCAAAAACCTTTTAATTATTTAGCTGCTATCTAACATTCACCGGAAACCACTCCATAAACAAGCAGAAAAGACCTCACACACATTTTTGTCAAGAGTCCTGGGATTAAGATTAAGGTTGAAGAGGGGGGTGAGAGAACTGTTTTCCCTGTGTCACTCATGAGTGCCTAAGAGATCAACCAGCCTGACCCTAGTTCACAGCTTCGAGAAAAAATCCCAAGCAAGCATAACTCTTTGGTCTTGATCACTGAGACCCAGAAGTTCAAAAAAGAGCGAAAGAGAGACTTTGTGAGAAAGAAAGAAAGAAAGAAAGAAAGAAAGAAAGAAAGAAAGAAAGAAAGAAAGAAAGAAAGAAAGAAAGAAGAGAAAAAAGAGAAGAAAAAAGAGAAGGGAGGAAGGAAGGAAGGAAGGAAGGAAGGAAAAGAAAGAGAAAGAGAGAAGCTGATGACCTCGACTTGAACATGTTAACTTATTCAACTAAAAACATAGTTAAAAGACAAGAAAAGAAAATATTTGTGAGAAGGAAGACATCCCTTGTAGGGGCACCTCTCTGATAAATTTGGTAATGGGAATGGAGGGAATTATTCGTTTTTAATTCAATCACTAGACGAGGTACACTGGGATGCAAAGGACACTTCCCTCCCTTGAAAAAATAAAATCTAGAAGGCCCCTCCTGGTCTGAGCTGGTTAGGGGCTAGCAGAGAGAGGTGGGGGGACTTGGGGCTGGATGCCCGGGGTAATGGAGCCAGCCTGTAGGGGGGTATTTAACATGTAATTCCCAGCCGGTCCGCCCCTGTTCCCGGACTGACAGTGGGTAATTGGGAAAGAGGACGTTGCTCTTTTGATGGCCCGCGCCGGCCAGTCTCGCCGACGCCACACTAGGTTTGACGTCACGGGCCCAGCCCCAGAGTCAAGAAGCACAGAGCACGGTGGGGGGAGGGAAAAAGAGAGGAGGGGGATACCGGGGAGGGAGGACCGAGGTCGGCTCCAGGACCCACGAGGAAGAAGGGGGGAGGGATCCAGGCCGGAGAAGCTGCGGCGCGTGGCCTGAGGCGGAGAGCCGGACTGTGGGGGTCTGGGCCAGGCCAGGCGCCGGGCTGACCCGCCTAGCCGACAAATGCAGGCCCGGCTTCCTCCTCCCCGGGTGGGTGGCGGGGGGAGGGGAGGGGGCTTGAGACCCGGGAGGAAGGAGAGAAAGGTGGTCCTGCTTCTCCAGCTGCCAGAACCCACAAAGCTGATCTCGGCCTCCTGCGGGGACGCCTCAGCACCCTCCTGCAGACCCGGTGTGCCTACTCCCCTGCGCCCTCGGCCCCGGGCCTGGGACTGCGCGATCCCTCGGGAGCAGCTGCCCGGGCTCCGAAGGAGGCAAGAGGAGGCCACCGAGGGAGGCAATCGCCGCCGCTGCTGGGTGCCTGCGGCCTCGGTAGTGAGCGAGGCCTTCCTCCCTAGGGTAAGGGGCTGACCGACGCTCTGGGCGCCCGGGGGACCCAGCATCCCGGAGCCGAGCAGACGAAGGCTCCCTCCGGTGCCCTCGGGGGAGCCAGGACCTGGGGTGGGGAGAGGGGTGGCGGGAGCTAGCTTGGTCTTTCTGGAACCCTAGGCCTCGAGGCGGCTGCGGTAGGCGTCAAGTTGAACAGGGTATGTGTGCCCTCTTGGGGAAAGGGCAAGAAATGAAGCTGACTTTTCCGTCTGTGCTTGGGGCAAGATAGGACACCCCCACCCCGCCCCGACACACACAAACCTGCCTATCAGCAGGTCCCTCCCACTCGCCTTCCCAGGGGCACTGAGACCCTATCCCGCTGGAAGTCTGCAAACCCCGGTCCCTTCCAGAATTTGGAAGCCGTGGCCGCCAGGCAGTGGAACGGGTGCCGAAACAGCAGAACCCGGGCCGCGGACCCAGAAGGCAGAAATCCACGCAGCCAGCGCCACCCACCCGAGCCTGACTCTCCGCGCGTCCAGGCGAGCTCCGCGGGGCCGAGATGCGGGAAGATGCTACCCTAAGGGCGTGAGCCCTGCGGGTGGAGGAGGGCGACCAGCAAAGTCGAGGCTCCGGGTCGAAGTCCTAAAGTTACTAAACCCGCGCAGGGGTAGAAAACGTGCCTCGGGGCGCCTAGGGCGGTCGTTTTGTGCGTGTTTACTTTAGGACTTTGCAAGC